AAAAAAAAAAAAAAAAAAAAAAACATAGAAAGAAAGAAAAAAGCCAATGGGGACCAAGAACAATGGCTCACGCCTATAATCCCAAAACGTTGGGAGGCTAAGGTGGGAGGATTGCTTGAGCCCAGGAATTAGAGACCAGCCTGGGCAACACAGCAAGACCCTCTCTTTATCTTTATTTTACAAAAAAAAGAAAGAAAGAAAAGGAAAGAAACAACAGGGAGCTGCCGAGCGGGGTGTGTGTGAGATGGGCGGAGGCTTGCTCTGGAAAGGATCATCTGACAGGGCAGAGGAGGCAGGGGGAGACAGCCAGTTGTAGGAAGGAACAGCAAGGCTGTTGGTCAAAGTTTTCTATTGTTTTCATTAGCAAACTGATAATCCGTGCAACTTTCGTAACAGAAAAATGGTTATGACGGCCGGGCGCAGGGGCTCACTCCTGTAATCCCAGCACTTTGGGAGGCTGAGGCAAGCAAATTACATGAGGTCAGGAGTTCGTAACCAGCCTGGCCAGCATGGTGAAACCCCGTCTCTACTAAAAATACAAAAATTTGTTGGGCGTGGTGGTGCACGCTTGTAATCCCAGCTACTGAGGAGGCTGAGTCAGGAGAATCCCTTGAACCCGGGAGGCGGAGGTTGCAGTGAGCTGAGATCATGCCATTGCACTCCAGCCTGGGCAACAAGAGCGAGACTCCATCTTCCCAAAAAAAGAAAAAAGAAAAGACAAAGAAAAATGGTTATGACATGACCTTCCCAGAGGCAGGTCAGCAAGATAATCCAGTTTTCAGTTTGTCCCAATTCCCAGTTTTCTGGGAACTCTGACCTCCCTAAAGACTTTCTTTTCTGTTTGAAGCTGTAGGCTGTCCATGGACCTTCCTTCTGGCCCTCAGTCACCACCCAGAGGATGCAACTCCAGAATGAACACACTAGGAGTCAGGAAACTTGGTTTCTAGCCCTGCTTTTGCCACTTTCCCTCTCTGTACCCCAGGCTCCTCATTTGTAAATTGGTTGTGTTGGTATGATTGTTTTCCAGGCTTCCTTTCAGGTTCAAAGTTTTTTGTTTGTTTGTTTGTTTTTTTTGAGACAGGGTCTCACTCTGTAACCTAGGCTGGAATGCAGTGGCACAATCACAGCTCACTGCAGCCTCCTGAGCTAAAGCGATCCTCCCACCTCAGCCTCCCAAGTAACTGGGACCACAGTCGGGCACCACCACACCTGGCTAATTTTTTTTTTCACTTTTGTAGAGATGGAGTCTCCCTCTGTTGCCCTGGCTGGTCTTGAACTCCTGGGCTCAAGTGATCCTCCCTCTTTGGCCCCCCAGAATGCTGGAATTATAGGCGTGAGCCACTGCTCCTGGTCTCAAGACTTCCTTAATCCGGTCTTCTTGCAACTGGCCTTCTAGGTCCTCTCTCAAATGTTCATTTACCCCTTGACTCGCGGTGTCTTTGTGATCTTGGAGACCCTCCTCTGTTCTATCTGTCTGCCTGTCTTACCTCCTTCCTCCTCTGTCAAGGGTGTCACTGCAGTGTCCAGCTCCAGCTCCTGGCTGGGACATGAAAGAGCTCTACTGACAGGTAAAGGCCTCTGAACCTTAGGGGTGGGCTTGTGAAAGGAGTGACAGTTCCCACTTCCCTGGGTTGTGATAAAGAACAACAGACTGCCTTGTGGAAGCCCCCAGCCCGGGGTCTGAGCACCAGGCACCCAGCTTACCTCTACACATTCCCTTTCTCTCAGTCTTATTGAGTTCTAGGGATTCAAAGTCCCCCCCCCCCCCGCTTTTAATTGCATTTATTTTAATGCTGAATTTACTCCTGTGCCATAAGTTTTTGTTTCTTCAGTTTCTTCTGGGATATCTTTTTCTTCTGGGCAACCTCCTCTTCTGGTTTAGGAACAATCTGTTCCTTTTCAGTAAGGACTATCTCGATGTGGCAGGGAGAGCTAATGTGTGGGTTAATCTGACCACGAGCTCTGTAGGTCCGGTAGCGCATCTTAGGTGCTTTGTTCACTTGGATATCTTCAATGACCAGAGAATCTACATGGAAACCCTTAAGTTCAGCATTACTCCCTGCATTTTTAAGCATGTGCAGCAAAAATTGAGCACTCTTTTTGGGCCACTGACCTTGTGTCCAGCCCCACTGCTTGGCCTGGGCGCACCTGCCAACCCCACCATTGTAACGTCGGAATGATACTCCGTGGCTTTTCATATATACATACCCGTGATGGCCTGGGCAGTTTCATGAATGTTCTTAAAGTGAACACGAAGATTGGAACCTCTTGATTTGCATGATTTTGTGGGGTTCTCTGGGTCAAGTGAATAGCGAACCATTTTCACAGATTACCTCAGGCTGCTTAAGGAAAGAGGAGTGGTGGCTTCTGGGAGAACTCATGAGAACTTTGAATTGAAAGTTTTACATACATCGCCCCTTGAGTTCTCACAATGAGGTTGGAATTTGTTCTCCTTAGACAGATAAGGAACTGAAGGCTCAGAGGAGCTACACAACTTGCCCAAGGTCACAGAGGGAGATCCAAGAAATTCACAACCAAGCCATGAAAAGAAATAGTTACTCAGTATCCTATGCACCCAGCACTGACTTTTATCATTATTATTATTTTGTTGTTGTTGAGACATAGTCTCGCTCTGTTACCCAGGCTGGAGTGCAATGGGGTGATCTTGGCTCACTGCAACCTCCACCTCTCGAGTTCAAGCAATTATCCTGCCTCAGCCTCCCAGATAGCTGGGATTACAGGCGTACATCACCACGCCCGGCTAATTTTTGTAATTTTAGTAGAGATGGGATTTCACCATGTTGGCCAGGCTGGTCTCGAACTCCTGACCTCAGGTGATCTGCCTGCCTTGGCCTCCCAAAGTACTGGGATTACAGGTGTGAGCCACCGTGCCCAGCCCCAGCACTGACTTTTAAAAATGCTCAGTGACTCACACCTGTAATCACAGCACTTTGGGAGGATGAGGGGGAAGGATCACTTAATCACAGGAGTTTGAGACAAGCCTGGGCAACATGATGAAACACCGTTTCTACAAAAAAATACAAAAATTTACTGGGCATGGTGGCATGCACCTGTGGTCCCGGCTACATGGGAGGCTAAAGCAAGAGGATCGCCTGAGACCAGAAGTTTGAGGCTGCAGTGAGCTGTGATCGTACCACTGCACTCAGTCTGGGTGACAGAGAAAGACTGTCTCAAAAAATAAAATAATAAAATAAAATAATATATATAAATATACATCGTGATCCCCACTGCTAGACCCCACACAGGCCCTAAGGAACCGACAGAGCAGAGTAAAACACAGTCCGGCCAGGGGGAGCCTGTCCAGCGGGTGCTGCTACACAGATGGGGAGGTGAGGGCAATGGGGTGGGTTGTGCTCAGCAGCCTGGGACAGGAAGAGAGAAAGAGGTGGCATTTACTGCTTCCTGGGGAACAGTAGGAGTTCCCAGACTCCCTCATTCACTGAGAACATCCTGATATTTCACCTGGCGGCGAATTGTTGCTGGTGGCGGGACAAGGCAGAGGAGGGCCTTCCAGGCTCCCTCAAAGACATGGAGTCAAGAAGCTGAGGCATATATCTTTCCTGTTCTCCCAGGGGGACACACTCTCCTCCCCCTCCAGCCTGGACAGCATTGCATTCATTTTTCTCTTTTGGTTTTTTTTGTGTGTGTGATTTTTTTTTTTTTTTTTTTGAGACTGAATCTCACTTTGTTGCGCAGGCTGGAGTGCAGTGGTGCGATCTCGGCTCACTGCAACCTCCACCTCCCAGTTCAAGCAATTCTCATGCCTTAGCCTCCTGAGTAGCTAGGATTACAGGTGCGTGCCACCACACCTGGCTAATTTTTTTGTATTTTTTTTTAGTAGAGATGGGGTTTCACCATGTTGGACAGGCTGGTCTGGAACTCCTGATCTCAAGTGATCTGCCTGCCTTGGCCTCCCAAAGTGCTGGGATTACAGACGTGACCCACTGTGCCCTGCCTCATTTTTATCTTTTGGCATTTAGTTTCTCTGTTAATATTACGGTCCTGTCATTCATATGTTCATTTGCAGAATGCATATTTCTTTTCTTTTCTTTTCTTTTGAGACAGAGCCTCACTCCTCACTCCAGTCTCCCAGGCTGGAGTGCAGTGGCATGATCACAGCTCACTGCAGCCTTGACCTCCCGAACTCAAGCAATCCTCCTCCCTTAGCTTCCCAAGTAACTGCGACTACAGGAGCACACCACCATCCCAAGCTAATTTTACAAATTTTTTGTAGAGACAAGGTTTCCCCATGTTACTCACGCTGGTTTCAAACTCCTGAGCTCGAGCAATCCTGTTGAGATTACAGGCATGAGCCACCGCACCTGGCGTACATTTCTTGAATGCTAACTGTGCACATGACACTGTACGCTAGTTGTGTGAGGCACACAGATATGCATGAGGCATCCTAACCTCCGATGGCCACTAAGAGGGAGTTACATACATAAATAATCATAATACAAGGAAGAAGATGTTAAGTGGTCCGACTAAGGTTAAGATAAAGCATTATAAAAGTTCAGAGATGAGAAAAATAATGTCCAAAGGGCAGTCGGAAAAGATTTCATGGAGGAGGCAACATTTGTGTTCACTATAGAAGGAGAAAGGACAATTTTTAAATTTTAAGGAATAGCTGGGTGCAGTGGCTCATGCCTGTAATCCCAGCACTTTGGGAGACCAAGGTGGGTAGATCACCTGAGGTCAGGAGTTAGAGACCAGCCTGGCCAACGTGGTGAAGCCCCATCTTTATTAAAAATACAAGAATTAGCTTGATGTGGTGGTGCATGCTTGTAATCCCAGCTACTTGGGAGGCTGAGGCATAAGAATCACTTGAACCCGGGAGACAGAGGTTGCAGTGAGCTGAGATAGTACCACTATACTCCAACCTGGGCAACAGAGTGAGACTCTGTTCCAAAAAAAAAAAAAAAAAAGTTAAGGAACAAGCTGAGATGTGCTTTCTGGTTAGAGGGCACAGTGTGAACCAAAGTAAGTTCTGCAAACGTTTGGATTATGTGACCCTTTAAACCTGTGAGGCCATGTTGGTATAGCTGGCTCACTACTACCTCCCCAGCAACTGGCCTGGCACACAGAAGGCACTCAGTAAAAATTTGTTGCCTTTTTTTTTTTTTTTTTTTGAGACGGAGTTTTGCTCTTGTTGCCCAAGCTGGGGTGCAATGGCATGATCTCGGCTCACTGCAACCTCTGTCTCCTGGGTTCAAGCGATTCTCCTGCCTCAGCCTCCTGAGTAGCTGGGATTACAGGAACCTGCCACCACGCCTGGCTATTTTTTTGTATTTTTAGTAGAAACGGGGTTTCTCCATGTTAGCCGGCTGATCTTGAACTCCTGACCTCAGGTAATCTGCCCACCTCGGCCTCCCAAAGTGCTGGGATTACAGGTGTAAGCCACCGTGCCCGGCCAAAAATTTGTTGCTTTGATCAGTGGTTCAGTTTGGCTGGAGTTTAGGGAACTTGGAGAGGGACAATAGGCAGAAGGAAAATCTTAGTTATTCATTGCTGCACAACAAATTACCTCAAATCTTCGCGCTTACTACAACAATAAACATTGATTATCTCTCAGAGTTTCTGCAGATCAGGAATTTGGGAATGGCTTGACTGGGCAGTTCTGGCTTGAAATCTCAAGAATTGCAGTCACATTTGGATAGGGTTGCATTGTCTGAGGGCTTGGCTAAGGCCAGGGGATTCCCTTCCAAGATGGCTTACTCACAGGGCTGGCAAGTTGGTGCTGGCTTTGGCAGGAGATCTCGCTTCTTCACCATGTGGGCTCCTCCACAGGGCTGCTTCAGGGTCCTTATGGTGTGGACATTGACTTCCTCTGGAGTGAGCGGTGGGCATGGAGGCATGCACCTGTGGTCCCAGCTACATGGGAGGCTGAAGCATGTAGTGAGTGATCCAAGAGACAGGATGTAGGAGGGAGCTGTAACCTCTTCACAGCCAAGCCTTGGAAGTCACTCTGTAGCATCACTTCTGCTACATTCTGTGCACTAGAAGCAAGTCATTTAAGTCTGACCCACTTTCAAGGGAAAGGGAATCAGCCTCCACCTTGGAAAGGGGAAATGGCAAAGAATTTGCAGGCATATTTTAAGTAACCACAGACCATGAGGGCAAGGAGGTTTGTCTGCTCAGAACTCAGGGGTTCTTCAGCTGAGTGGGACTCCAAGGGATCCAGCTTTCTGTGGGGATCCAGTGGTCCTGCCCTGGTGCCATCTATCCAAGGGACTGTGGGCTTCCGGCAGCAAAACCAAGAACCAAGGCAAGACCCAGTGCTGCCTGCTGTTGAGAAATCTGAAGTGGCTCAGACCAGAGCAGGGGGTGCTCACCATCTGGCAAGCACATAGCAAGAGGACATGAGCCCTTTTGCCCCAGGAGAGTCAGGAAAGGCCTCCTGGGGGTAGCATCTGAGCTGCATTCTTTTAAAGCTTTTATTAGGCCTAAAGTGTGGGGCTGGGTGTATACACAGAAGGTTAAACGCACCTGGTATGGCGGCTCAGCAGGCATTGGAAGCCATACAGGAGAGCTGAGGCCTGAGGAGACCCCCACCGACCATAGCAGCAGACACTGTCTCTGCCCTGCAGCTGGTGAGACCTTTCTAATGCCACTTGGTGTTGGCATACAGCTTTTCAGATGGGTGTGGACTGTCCCACAAGAGCTCCGTGAGCTCCGTGGGGCAGGCTAAAGTGCGCTGGAGATTGTATGTGTAAACTGTTTGCTCATTTCCCTAATCAAAGGTCCCTGAACATTGTTGGGGTCTTCTCCCCCTTTCTGCTCCTACTTCTCTGAATGTGCTTACCCTATATGGGCCTGTTTACCTCTCTGCTGCTTCTGCTTCTTCTTCTTCTTTTTTTTTTTTTTTT